AGAGAGAGAGAGAGAGAGAGAGAGAGAGAGAGTTGTGCAGGAAAGTGTTTGGTTGGTGTCCAATAGTTGAATTTCCATAATAAAGTGCTTCTGCTGTGTGTGTGTGTGAGAGAGAGAGAGCATTAATTAAAAATCGTCAAAGACTCTGTAGGGTTCCTGGTGCAAAATAAACAGAGAGAATTAGAAATTTGTCAAAAAAATAAGGAGAGAATTAAAAATCATCAAATTTACTAAGGGTTCTTGGTACAAAATAAACCGAAATTCACTCTTATGCAATGAGGGGAAAAAAAAACACAAGCACAATGAAAATGCCACCAGTCGCCTATATTTATGGTGTTCCCATAAATGACAGTAACAAAAACAGGAAAGATATTTTCTCTCTACTCCACAATATACACTGCCCGCTTATTTTAGTGCATTCGATTAAAAAAGCAATGCTCCATCTCACTTTCATTAACTCTCTCTCACACACACAGCTAATCAATGAAGGTGATCTTCCATTAAATTGCCAAAATATACTACCAACAGTGACCCATAATCCTTCTTTCTGCAACCTTTCAGCCATGGTCTGAAACTCATCCTGTGTGCTTTCTTCTTCATCCTCTCAACCTTTGATCAATTTGATCGATAAATAACGAAATTTTTGGGTTTTTAATCCTCATATAACTCCTCTCTCTCTTTCTACTCTTCAAGTAAATTTGATCAAAAAATGACCATACTTTTTTGGTTCCTCCATAGTAAACCATCCCATACCTGTAAACATAAATATTCTTTTTCTCTCTCTCTCTACTGTAAACATAAGTATTCTACTTTTCTTTCACTCTACCGTTTTCATCACTGTTCCATTGAAAATAAATTCTATCGAGAAGACTCCCATTCATTGTCATCGATCCAGTCCCCATAAATACGACTGATTTTATCAGGCCCCTTCCATTTTTGAAAGGGTTTGAGGCCTTGTCTCTGGTTTAATGAGCTCACTGATCTCTGGCTTTGGAGACCAACATGGTAAGTATCCATATGAGGAATTGAAGCCATGGAACCGGTAACTGCATCAGTCTGAACCTTTGAAGAGGCAGTGTTTATCTTTGAATCAGAAGGGACAGTTGAGGAATCTCGGCCCTCCATCTCCACTAGGCCCCCGCCATATCTGTGAAGCTCTGTCACCCAAGATGTGCACAAGGCATTAGAAGTTTGAAAATGTGCTGCTGTGTTTTGAGGAAAATAAAGTTTCAAATTGTGAAATCTGAGGTTGAGACAGAAACGTGTACGATAAGATCATGAATCCAGTTTTGGATGAAGAAGAGAAAAATTGACAGCAAGATCAAAGGATATTTCTTAAAAATTTAATGCTTCCTCTCTTAATGCTTAGGATGTAAGGGTATAGAAAGAGGGGCCTGTGCAGCGCGCACGTGTGCGCGCACACGCACACAGAGGGAGAGAACCTCAAACAATCAACAACAATAAAGAAAATCAAAGATCCGAAATTACCTCCCAAACCATGAGCAAAATGGCACTTGCTCCCAAAGGGGCAATACCCGGTCGTTTCCCACTTGTTACAAATCCTTGTCTTCCAATTCGAAGGCTTCTGGTTCGACCCATTTCCTCCACCCCCACCATAACCACCTCCATTACCAGTCGGCCCCAAGCTTATGGCCACGCTCTCTCGAGCTTTTGATTGCTCATCATGGAGGAAAGTGCACATATCACCGTAAGGACATCCCTCCTCTGTGTAAAATTTTTTGCAGTGTCTCCCCTTGTAAGACCTTTGGGACTCTCCACCTAAACCAGTGGAACTAATCGATGGGATTTGGTGTTCTTCTCTCTCTATAATTTGGGTTCTATCGTCTTCTTGAGCTGCTACAATCTCTTGCCAATTTGGTGGTGGTTTCCTAAGCTCTTCAATTCCGTGAGCAAAGTTACAGTTGGTTATGTAAGGGCAGGTCCCTGCCCTAAATTTGCAGCACAATTTGGTTTTGAAGAACATTTTCCCTATCACTTTCGATCGGTTTAGAGAGGTGAACTCTGCAACATTGTTCCCTTGATTATTACTGAAATTGGGGTTTCGATCTCTGATAAAGCCATTGTTTTGAGGATCAGTATTTGGGTTTCTGGACCTTTTCTGGGGGGGTTCAGAGAAATTAGGGTTTGAGATGGTGTCTTGATCTCCATTCCAGGCTCCGTAATCATCATCAGTTGCCCAAATTCCTTGGTCATTTACGCCTGGGATCCAACAGTCTGAATTTGCCTGGATTTCGATGACTGTCTGGCCGGATTTGTCATGGAATATGGATTCATTTCCATAATCCATGATGAGAAGAGAAACCAACTCGGAATCAAAGGATCTGTGCAGATTTCAAACCCTAATCGCTAAGAAAACCACAAGTATCTATAAATCCCTGAGTTGAAAAGTCCTGGGTTTGTATCCTTTATGATATTGATTTTAATGTCGATTGAAATGCCGCAAATCTTCAATCAATCTCTGAACCCTGAAAAGCAAAAAACCCTAAAATCTCTGAAACTTTGGAGCTCTACAATCAGAACCCTAGCTCCTGGATTCAATTGATCAAACCAGTCATGTTCCCCCGATCCAATCTGAGATACTTAGAAAGCCAAAAAGGAAAACTACCCAACTTAAAAAACCATAAGCATCCGTGATGCTTTGAAGCAAAATCTGAGATCTCAAATCCAAGATAAAACTCAATTAATTCCTATCAATCAAGCAACCAACCATTTCTCTTGGTTCCAGATCATTCATCAACTCATTTATGATAATCAGAGATTAAAATTAACAAACAATTCGTGAAATTGCATAAATCAGAAGACCAACCGAATCAAAACCAGAGAGAGGGAAAGCGATTTGTTCCGAGAGAGATGATTATACAGATAGTTTTCTTCTCTCTAAAAATGGAGAAATGGGGTACTCACCTTTGAGAAATTGAAAGGAGTGTCCCTTAAAAAGCAGGGAAAGCCATGAGAAGCGAGGGCACAAACTGTTGATTTTGGAGAGAGAAAGAGAGGTGGAGATTTTTATTTGGAGGAGCCAGACATAGAAAAGCCTGAAACTACGTATATATGTGCCAGCCCTGTTAGGACATATATTATGCGCCTGATCTCTCTCTCTCTCTCTAAAATCAATGATTTCCCCTCTCTCTCTCTCTCNNNNCTACTCTCTCTCTCTCTCTCTTCTCTTCTACTACTACTACGTCGTTACTACGTTACGTACGTACGTTAACGTAACGTACGTTAAGTAA